CTATTTGTTCCCAACTGTATTGCATAGTTACGATGATAAACACATGATTCCAGTGCCTATGCATTTCTCAGTTTCAGTTGAGATTAATATATATCTGCAGTGTAGTCCTGTTATTTATGTAAAATTTGACAAGTGTCTTTACTCATAAGTTTTACCAAGTGCTCTTATATCTGGTCATGTGTATACCTATAATCAGTTCATGTTTGCACATGTACATTTTTTAGTGGAGAATTCTTGTCAGTTCTCTGATTTGTTGTCTTCGTTTCGTGTCAGATTCAGTGGAGTCATAGTCACTAGCCAGAGCAGCCATTTGAATCCAGAACTCAAAGTGATTGGTGTGATCTTGTTGTATGAAGTGTTGGGTTAATTATGTGGCCACATTTTCATGGCCATCACAGCAGTTGTCAATGCAGGTGTGCGTGTAAGATGCACTATTGTGAATCGATTGTGCATCAGGGTTATAAGTATATATTATTGTTTCCTGCTCAGAACATGTATGTCGTTTGGCCCTAGACATGAGACTGAGAACAATCTTTCGTTCTTCAAGACTTGTTATGTTATGAAAGAAGAACACAGGGAAATACTGTAATATCGCCACAAATTGTCCATGCAGGTCAGTGATCAATCTGCATATTTCAAAGATTTCAAATCCAGCAAAAAGTATACTCTTTATTGATCTTTGAGATTGAAACCTTGATGATCTTACAGTACTAATGAATAGCTGATCGTAACAGAATAGCTAGAAGAGAACACTGACTCTGATTTGGGTGAAATAATCTCTGGACGCATGAATTGCACGACTACAAGCCATCGTGCAAAAACATCGAATACTCTTTATTGATATCGAAAAAATCTTACATAGGACTCTCCCTCAATTCCAAATTAAGTGTCACAGTTTTAGTACTAACTTACTACTAAATCGGCGACACTTATTTTGGGACCGAGGGAGTAATGACTAACTGACTGTAACATGCTACTTCTTAGCCAAGACTAGACCTAGACGACAACAATGGACTCGACTAACACTGTCATACTCAATCTGACAGACTTGATATTTAGGCGAACATTTGATCTCCAGCGACTGCTGTGAGCTGGCTTCTCGTCCTCTGACTCCTTTCCTCTGCTGGATCTCCACTGGAAACAACCTCCATTGAAAACACAGAAACGACAGTAAGTAGTACCAAGTAAGCGACAGAAGGAAAGCGTGCTGAGTTCCTGACTGACATGATTCAAATGCAATGCAAGAAACAAATCAAGGATGCAATAATGAGAGAGGGAGAATTGAGAACTTAGCTCTGGTTGAATCCTGAGATGCCGTAGCGGGCGGCTAGCTGGCAAGCTCGCACGCGGCATGGTTCCACCTCCTCCTCGGCCTTCCTCTTCTTCGCTGCGCAAGCCACGCTACGCGCTGGAGCTGGATGGCGTAACAGGATCCTGAAGAAGCGCCAGAATTCTTCGTCGGCGATGAAGACGCGGTAGTCAAGGGCGCGTAGGAACATCAGCTCCAGCGGGCACAGCTCGCTCGACCGGATGGACTCGCCCGAGCATACCTGGAACGACTCCACCCGCCTCTCGTAGTACCTCGGGCTGCTGAACTTAGCGCCGAGCAGGACCGCCACGGAAACCAGGCGGTGCGCGGTGGCCGGCTCGACGACGATCCCGGCCTCGAGCGCGGCGGGGCTGCGCATGAAGAGCGCGAGGTACGCCGCCGCGAGGACGTAGACGCCGCCATCAAATAAGTAGTTGCAGCGCTGGAGGCGCTCGAGGAACTCGGCGATGGGGACGGCCGGGGTCGCGCCGCCGCGGAACGCCCGGACGAGGTCGTTCTCCGCGGGCTCAGAGGAGGCGGCGGCGAAGGGCCGGGACTCGGCCTCCACGAGCGACGCGAAGAGGCGGAGCGTCCTCGGGTTCCCGTGGCCGTCGAGGCGCAGGACGTCGGAAGCCATGGCGATGGATCGAGGAGCTTTTCGCGAGAGCGCTAGGGTTTGCTTTCGCGAGATTTTTTTCTAAACATCAGTACAGACACAAGCGCTCATATACACGCGCATACACTCACCCCTATAAACACACACGCACACTCTACCTTTATGAGCACTTTCGATGAGCCGATATATCATCTTGAGATTTATGAAGTAATCGTAGGCGCCTCGTCGTCAATGAAAATGTCACCTCTCAGAATGTGTATCGCCGGAAATCCTGAAATAAATCCAGAAATAAATGCGAGCATCAAGATTTGAACCCTGGTGGGCTGGGGATATCACAGTCCCTCTAACCATTAACTACAGGTTGGTTCACGAGATCAAAGGAGACGAGAACGGCTGCAGCGACCGGTAGAGATACGTATACGTAGCGTCTATGACGTATTTGTATAGCCATACGTCGCGTAGAGGCAAAGCTACGTGTAGTCTTTTCCAAGAAAAAAAAGCATAATACATCTTTTTTTTCTTTTGAGGTCGCGTATACATTCTTTTTGGGCAATTTAAGAAAATGCCACATCTTTTGTGGGACTTTGCTCCTATAGCACATCTTTCTTTTTATTAGATTGTATAGCACACCTTTGACTAATGGCTGAACAAAATATTATAGATTGATTTTTTTCCCTTCTATTCCACGTCTAAACTCACATCTCTTTTTTGTTAGGACGAAATTGCCCCCGGCTATTTCTTGGTGATATGAAACGATCGCAGAACGGAGAGCACACCGCCGCATCGTCGTGACTCCTCCCGACGCCGCCGCCTCGCTGTGCCAGCTCCCCGGCGAGCCGCGATCTCTCCGTACCTCCTTTCCGGCAGCACCGCCTTGTCATTCGTCCTCTCCCACTTGCCGCCCGTACCTATGCAGCGTCTCCCCCGTCCAGACGTAGCTGCTCGTGGCTGTGCTGGCTGAAGAAGTGCTTGTTGTACACGCTGACTGCTCCATCAATTGTAGTTGTAGCTACTGGTTGCTCTGGTTGCTAGCTTTGTTAGCATATGGCTCAAATACCAGTGAAATACACTAACAAATTTGTTACGTGTTGACGGTTGTAGCAATTGTTGTAAGAAGATATGGATGCTTGTTCGTATGGATGTAATCAAAATTCAGATTGGGATGTAGCATGCAATGATATATTATTTTGTTGGTATAGATATAATCAAAATTTCTACAGCATTTTCACGTAAAATTTTGACATGACCTCTCTATATTTCTGTATCTTCTTCACATATCACACGAATATATATGACAATCCAGGAGCTCGGCCTCCATGGAGGCCGGATTTTTTGAAAAATTCAAAATTCACACTTTTCAGTTTCAAAAAAATCTAAAAAAAATTTATACAAGTAAACAAGGATGTTATGAGTATGTATGTAAAATTTGAGGATGAAATACCCTAAAATGCGATCTGTGCAAAAAAGACAAATTCATGGACTTTGAGAATGAATAGTGCATCTACTAAAAAGCCTCAGATTTGTTCTTTTTGTGTAGCACTCATTTTAAAGTGTTTCGTCCTGAAAATTTACACACATATGCTTTATGTCTCTAAGTATGTGTGTATTTTTTTAAAAAACTTTTGAAACGTGAAAATTTGAATTTTGATCAAGTCAAACTCGAGCTCCATGGAGCCCGAGCTCTAAAGAGCATTTTCGCAAAACTAATAGATATAAATTTATATTGGAAACATAAGGTGAGTCCTAGTCAGTACACACACGACAAGATCACAAGACAAGATCACACGACAAGATCTCAACTTTTGGATGATCTTTGTCATATGACATTTCTATGTCTTCAGGAACTTGGTCGTCAACTGGTATAGCTCCCTCGGCCATTAACTTCTCATTAGCATGGCACACAACAACCGGAGCTGGATCATTTATTGGTTGAGCATCCTCAACCTCATCCTCAATTCCAAGTACCTCACACATGTTTTCCCGGGACATAGGAGCTATTATATCATCACCTATAGGAGTTATCTCAAGATTGGACCAATCAATAATA